GCATTTGTTTTGAAACCACAGTTTGTCAATGCACTTAGAGATGAGGCCATTCAAAATGCCTGGTTGTATGATAGAGCATCGGCTTAGTATGTTTGGTACACCCGGTTTAGTTTGTCATAGTACTGCATCTGAACCATCCTGGCAGCGATGTTGAAAGCTATACCAAGGTCAATGAATATATCTATATAACAGACCACAAGGGCTATCTAACTTCATTTAGCCGTGGACCAGTGACAGTGACGGATCACCTCAGGCCGCTCCCGTTTTCATCATGAATAATCCACGATACAAACTCTTCGTACCGGATGCCGAAAAATGGACACGATTTTACATGCTCAGGGCTGAAGGGAAAGGAGACCCTTATCAATCTATAACACGTGGAGGAGAAAAATCTGCCATGTTGTCTGTCGATCGATATTTGGAACTGTATGATCCAGAGTGGAAGAAAGACAAACAAAAACCAGAAACCATAGAGCAACCTAAGATTAATTTCGTTACCCCTACTCAACAAGTGGTCGAACAAGCTAAAGCCAGGTTGAAGAGAGAAAGGGGAATCTAAAGTTGGAAGTTCCTCCCAGTTTCCCATGAAGAAACGGAAGACGACTTTTTAGATAAAAGCAGTCAGTAGACATGGTTCCCTGCCATTTAGACTCGGACCACCATGCAGTCAACAACGTGTCCCGTGTGCTATATGACTTTTACCAGGACAGACAATATGTTGAGACATAGAAGACAGAAACATCAACAACCCTCTCCTCCTCCTCCTCCTCCTCCTCCTCCTCTCCTCCTCCTCCTCCTCCTCCTCCTCCTCCACAACCACAGCAGCAGCAGCAGCAGCAGCAGCAGCAGCAACCACATTCATCAGAAAGTATTACCCAGGCATTGGAAGAATGTAGGTTGCGACATCCATTCACCATGATTGTCTCAGGGCCCACCTCCTGTGGGAAAACCTACTTAGTGAAACAGATTCTAGAAAGGATGAACATTAAACCTTATCCTGAGCATTATTATATGGCTCTACAAACGATGGCAGCCCTTGTATAATGCCATTCAAACCCATGTTTATCCCTATGTGGAATTTCATCAAGGCATTCCTTCTGATCTCGAAAAGGATGCATTTCTAGACCCCCATGTGGTGAACGTGGTTATCCTCGATGACTTAATGTCTACTGCCAGCAAAGATCCACGCATTACAGATCTGTTTTACGGAAGGAAGTCATCATCGTAATCTCTCAGTGATCGCCTTGAACCAGAATTTGTATTTCAGTAAGGATCCCACACAACGAAGAAACTGTCATTATCTGCTTCTGTTCAACAACCCTATCGATCAACAACCCATCATGACTTTGGCGAGGCAAATGTATCCAGGTAACACAGACCATTTCATGGAGCCGCTTCAAAGGGCTACCCAGAAGCCTTATGGCTACTTGTTGGTTGATCTAAAACCCCAAACACCTCCCCATAGGCGACTTTGTCCCAATGCATTCAGTTTAAAAGGACACCTCCAAGCCAGGACAATTCAGTCCGAGTTAGATGTTCAGCGTGAGCAGACGTGTGAAGACAACCTCTCAACCATGCCATCTTGTGATGCCTGTGGACTCGTGTTTCAAGATGTGCAAGATTTGCAAAAACACAGAAGAAACTGGTGTCCCGAAAAGTCTTCAGTGGGTCCTCCTGGGATACCCCAAGTGAAAAGGAAGTGGGAGGAAGACAACAACTTCTCTCCTGTGAAGAGACCACGTCCTCTGTCGGATTGTGACTATTGCGGTCAAGTGTTTAGCACTAACCATAATTTACAAAGACATTTACACGATAAACAATGTCCTGAAATGGAAAATGAGGACGATGATGTTGAATCATTAAGCGATGTCACACATGGCAACAGGAAAAATAAGATGGCTGATCTCGAAGAGCAAGGTATAAGACAAATGTATTCACGTACGCGTGAGCTGAATAAAGACTTTTTGGATGAGAAACGACAGCTGTACATAAAAAGAGGTTTAAACGAAGACATGATTCAAGCCAAACTGAACAAATTGATGTGGAGCACATTTAAAGAGACGTATGCCCGATTTATTACTTATCTGTACCATATGCAGTATGGTCCAAAGACAGAAGGAATACTGAAACAAGTAAAAGACACAAATAATATGTATCATGAAGTGATTTCAAAATTGTACCAATATAAGTCTTGGGTCGAAGGCATGACCGAAGATGAAGACATAACATCTGATGAAAGAGAGTGAAGGACAGGTGGATGATGATGAAGGGTAATAAGACAACAGATGTAAAGTAGGCATTTGGGAGAGCTCCTATCCTAATGTCTACTCATTCGAAACGGAGCTAATAAACAATGAAATCTGTATATCTCTCTTGTTTCTTAATGTATTGTACCCCTGGGTTACCCTTCAGTAACCCATGCTTGTCATAAGAGGCAACTGACGGGATCGAGTGGTCAGGCTCGCTGGTTGACACATGGCACATGGTGTAGAATGACGCTCATGCTGTTGATCACTGGATTGTCTAGGCAATTATGTATATTATGTACAGACCACCTCCATAGAGCTGCTGAGAGTGTACTAGACTCACTGAATGTATTGTTGTAGGATTGACTGTTGTACAATTCTTGGTTTTTATAATACCAATTTCAACCCTATTTCACTGAATCCACATATTCTTAACATGATCATACTATTATCAGACATACAAGTTTCAGTTTAATCGTCATTCCTGTTGATTGAATACAAGATAACCATTGTTTCAGTTCATGGTATTGAAGATAACAACTGTTACAGTTCATTGTATTGAATACAACAACAATTTTAATGATCTGTAATGAATATATTTATATATATATATATATAAACGGTTTATAAATACATAAGCTATTACACTAGTGTTGTAAAGCCATTTTTGGTCTCCCAAGCCGTTTTGGACATGTAGCCGGTTTGGACATGTAGCCATTTTGAGTCAGAACCGTTTGCGAACCGGTTTGATAGACCCTTTTGCGATCCAGTTTGACAGAACCGGTTTTAGGCAGGGGCTGTTGGCGCCAAGCTTGAATGCTCTTTGTTCACTGCCATGTGCAGCCGGTATGTTGTGTTGTGCGTGTTTAGGTATTCTGGCGGTTTCATGACCGTTTAAAACAGCACAGTAGGTGTGGAATGTATGTGATGGATCATTCTCTATTATAATTTGTGAGTATTTTTGCGTATGAACGTATTGTGTGAATAATGTTGTTGACGACAGTATCGTGAGTACACATGTTAACAATGCGAGTACATGTACACACTAAAATTGGTTTTATGCAAGCTATAGTTTAGAAAAAAACGATGAATCTAGGGAAAGGTTCTGATTATGATTGGACTGTGTTTATTGTGTTGAGATTTAAAGATTCATGGTAAACGGGAGTCATGTGTAATCAACTTTCTATCGGTCGTATCCTGTGTGTGTGTATCAGGCTGTGTTTATTCATGTGATTGTGTGTGAGGTTTTTTAAAGTAGGCTCATGGCATATGTGAGTCATGTGTAATCAACTTTCTATAGGTTGTATCCTGTGTGTGTATCGGGCTGTGTTTATTCATGTGATTGTGTGTGAGTTTTAAAGTAGGCTCATGGCATATGTGAGTCATGTGTAATCAACTATCTATAGGTTGTATTCTGTGTGGGCTGTATTTATTCATATGATTATGTGGGATTTTAAAGTAAGTTCATGGGATCTACATGGGATTTTTTGGTGAGAAGCATGCTGTGAGTGATTTCGCTATGAGTTTCAACATTTTACTCAGTTTTTTTTCATCGACGGGCATGGCTAGGACTTTGTTATTTGTTTAAATCTATATATTTATTATTTTTTTCAAAATGGCGGCGGGGGACGCGATCTATGATCTGGTTTCTTCAATGGGCGTGAAGGCCGTCATGCTTCTCGGGTCATTGAACGTAGGGAGAGGCAATGTTATGGCAGAATGAACATGGCACACCTCACTCGGAGGCTGTCGCAAATTAAAAGAAAGTATTAACATGGACACTCGGTAACATGTATTTGAAGTTATTTATTTTTCACTCCATTATACGTTTGTTTTCTTAATCTTCATGCTTGTGTGGGAGAGGGGATTCCCTTCCCGTAAACATAGCTTTGAATGGCTGTAGGTCGGACTTACGGGTGGGCAAATGAGTCATTCATTGTTGGAGTACAGTATGAATCAATCTGTTTCTTCACATGAATGGGTTACTTGTTTCAACCCCTCTAAACATCTAGATTTACCACCACTGTTTGCCTCAATAATGGATATACCTGCTGGACTGGATCTATCTGTTCATGGAACTATTCTAAGTGAAATTGTGCTGTTCATGGACATATGTGCTCATGGACGTATGTGTGCTGAGGATTTCCTATGGATCACATGAGGTAAGTTGCTTCAATTCCCTATTCTGATGTTAGTATGTTTCCACAAATGTGAAGGGTAACTTACCTTAATGTTCTGTTGATGTATAGTTGAGAGGCTGATGAAAATATATATCCAGTAGACAGTATAATCCAAGGTTGTTTAGTAATCCAGTGCACACAGTATAATCCAATAAGACTGGTATGGAGTATATCCACAATGTGTAATCACTAGGTGTAGTGACTGAAACTGTGTATGGAGGGCTGTTCGGGGGGACCTTTTATTATTCTAAAAATAGACACACCAGATGTTCACACCATAGATCTCAATATACAATAGAGAGCAGTGACTCACCATCTAAAAATATGGTGAAGTCTAACAATAGATTTTGACCCTATAAAGCCCCATAGCTAAAAATAGATCTTGCCGCCATAAAGGCCCTTATACTACTAGCGCCCATAAAACGGCTGTTACATATATTACTTGAATACACACACTGCTTTACTTCAAATTAATGAAAACAACACCCATAAAATGAATCTGAAGCTATCGACATTATATTTCAAATACTTGTATTAGTAATAATATTGAATTAATTCTAAATGAAGAAAAAAATAATGCAAATTTTGTTATCATCAAAGATAATTTTTCAACTATTAATACAGATAAAAAATAAAATTTTCAGCTTCCTGAATATTGTTTGTAAATGGCCTGGATCTACACACGACTCATTCATATTTGCAAACAGCCGGATTGGAGCCCACCTGGAAGCCCATAAAGACGATGGATGGTTACTAGGAGATTCTGGGTAAGTATTTTTTTACATTGCAGTGACTTCATGTTAATGATAACATTTGTGACTTGACAATATATGCAAATGTACTCTAGGCTGGAGGCCTTTGATACTGAATAAATAATATTGATTCTATATTTCATAACATATATATATAAACTAAGATTCTAACTTCAAAATTCTTGAATATTACATAAATATTAACAAAATTAATATATCTAATGTTGATATGTTTGGTGTATGTTATCAGATACCCATGCAGACCGTGGCTGCTCACACCACTGGCCCAGCCTCAGACCCGTGCAGAGGAGAGATACAACAGTAGTCACTGTCGAACCCGCAACACCATCAAGAGAGCTTTTGGTCTCTTTAAGTCCAGATTTAGGTATCTAATATCAGTCTTGTCAAGCACCTATATATCTCATACATAAGCTTAAAATAAAAACGTAAACTTACCCTAAAGTTTTTGTATAGTCTAAAATATATGATCATAGCTTTCATGGATATATTTTCATAGTCAGAAGAAAAAATACTAACACTTAATTTATCTAATGACATGTTATTTTTCAAAGGTGCATCCACAAGTATGCAGGCTGCCTGTGGTATGGTGTGAAACAGTGCCACAAGATTGTGTATGCAGCTGCACAGCTGCATAACTTTGCCATAGACTTGAGACTACCCACACCACCTGTTGATGAGGACGACACGGATGATGCAGATGACAATATCCCTGCTCCTTATCATGCACAAGACAGGTACCGTGTCAGGAGGCAGCTCATTGAAAATGTATTTGCTAAAAATACATGTCGATGTAAGCTACGCACAAAGACTATTTGTCATACTCTGTTACCCTATGCCTAAAAATTGTAAATTTTATTATAAATTGTATATTTATATACTTATCCTATCTCACTGTATGCACCTCTCTCTTCTTCTACGACCATGTGTGGAAACGTGCTGTAGGCTAAGTTGAATCAAATCTTGCTGGCCTCTAACCCGCCCTGACCTCTGCCCTCACTCCGACATCAACACCTGTTGATCATCTCTGTAAGCGTGCCGCTCGCTCAGATGATCATGTGACTACCTGTGCCTGTCCTTCTCGTCTTGGAGCTTCTAGTAATCTGTGATGTGGGGCAGGTCGGGTGGGTCCTTTAGCGTGAGATAGGATAAGTATATAAATATACAATTTATAATAAAATGTACTAATTTTTAAACTTATCCTATCTCACTGTATGCACAATCCCACGGTTGGTAGGCGGGTCGCAGATTACCCTGTTACTACCACCAGGACAAACGCATAACCCAAGGAGGTCAGGAGAAAGCACCAACTACCGATATACAAACTCCAACTTGAGATGGGTTTCTTCATGTAATCCTTGGCTTACACAGCACAAAAACTCTAGGGAGTGGGTGCTCCCGTATTAATGTGGTTTTCGGCCGCAACTTTTGACAAGCAAAAGGACGCAGTTTGGCAAGTAGGCCCCGCCGCCCCACGATTTATCAGGTGACCCCAGTGAATTAAAGTCGAGGACCTTAATCTGGCCAGTCCCTGCTTCGAAACTACCCCCCACAGACACACGCTGGAAGGCGGTGAAAGAGGGAATAGTTCGGATGCTCAACTAGTTTAACGTTCAGTACCAATCTCCCTAACGTACCAAAGGTGAGAAAGGACTCAGGAGCAGAACGCTTCGAAAACCATGTAGGTAATCGGAAATCAACACTTCACTGACGTAATTGCTCAGAGAGTAGAGGTCAGTAAGCGGGGTGTCGATCATCTCTTTATGTAGCACAAGACTGGCCTCACAGTCTATCAAGTCATAACTAATGACAGTGTAGACACACCCTACTTCCATAGGAGAGAATAATCTAAACCCAATGGAAAAAAGTACTAAGACATGGATAACATCGATATCTTTTATAATGTACAGAGCAAAACTGACCAAGCAGGATTGCTTCATCTGCGAACACGAGCCGATGATAACTGCTGCGCCAGGACCAGGGGGCCGAACTGATGGAGACCTTCCACGTCTGTAACTGAGAGGTCCCTCAGGTAGTGTGAAGCAAACACCGTATCTGATCGCCAAAAACAGCCCTCCATGATGGACTGCAGGGAACAATTTCTGTGAAGAGCCATGGTGGAGGCAAGAGCATGCGTCTCATGGGGCTTCGCCGTTGACGGTGGAGGCAGTTCAGCAAAGGTATAGGCACGCAGGATCGTAGTTCTCATCCAAAACGCCAAGGTAGTACGGGAGACTTCCGAGGTGGAGGCAGTAGACAATGGAATGAACAATCTCTTACGCAATCTGCGGCGATCCTGCGAGGCAGCTAAGTAAATCCTTAATGCACGCACCGGGCATAAGGACAGATCCTCTGTGTCGTCTGGGCCCAAAATAGTGGACAGCGGCGGTATCGTGAATGTGCGATCCTGCTGACCTGGTAACTGATTCTTGGCAAGGAAATCCCACCGCAAACCAAGGAAAACTTTCGCATGTCTAGACCTTTCAAACTGCACCCGAGAGACATCCAGAGCATGCAACTCAGAAATACGAGCCGCCGTAGCCAAGGCCAATAAAAAGAAGGTCTTCAAGGAGACATGTTCGAAATCTTTCTCCTCCAAAAGTTCATAATCAGCTGATGTGAGATAAGCAAGTACAACGGAAAGATCCCAAGCTGGAGGCCGGAACTTCCGAGATTGGTCAGCCAGTTTGTAAGACCGGAGGAGAGACTGGAGTTCAGGAACAGTGGACACCTTCACACCTGAGGCCGCTGCAATAACTGTGTTAAGAGCCGCCCAATAGGTAGATAGCATAGAACCTTTGAGTTTTCTGGAGTTTCGGAGATGCTGAATGTACTCTGCCACCATCTGCGGGGACGCCGTAGTGGGGAATAGGATGCCCTTCTTCCTGCAATACGCTTCGAAGTTCTTCCATTTGTCATCGTAGAGTGACCTTGTAGAAGTACGATGCGCTGTGGTAATGGCAGTAGCTACACGCTTAGAATAGCCCTTAGCCGTTAATGACCGATGAAGATGCGCCAAACGTGCAGATGGAGCGTCAACGGAGACCAATGGAGCTGGTCGGAGTGCGGATGAACCAGTAGATCGGGTCGAACGGGAAGAGGCACGGGATCTGGTTCGGCTAGGTCTTGGAGGTTTCACTAATACGCGAGGAAGAAGGGCAACTGGCGGGAACGCGCAAGCGTTCAGTTTGTTCCATGGAATGGCTAGAGCATCGAGGTCCCAAGCCAGAAGATCCGGAATCGGTGACACAAACCGAGGCAGCTGATGTTTGAAGCATGTGGCGAAGAGATCTACTGTCGGCGTCGTCAACGGAAGGCAAAATGTCTGGAACACCTGAGGATGAGAGGGACGACTGGGTCGAGACAGAGAATCTGCGATGACGTTCTTCACCCCCGCGGAATGTGATTGGCTCGTACCATGATATGGAGACTGTCCACCAGATCGAAGAACTGTTGGGTCCACCGTAGCAGTTGAGTAGACCCCGTGGACCCCATCCTGTTGATATGCCAAACCACCGCTGTGTTGTCCGATCGGATCATGAGGGACGTTGCTCTGAGGACATCCTGCCAGTGACTGATTGCAAGCATCACTGCCCTGAACTCCAGAACGTTGATGTGACAGGTGCGATCGTCGGGAGACCACAGCCCTGCCACTTGTTGATTGAAAAGATGACCTCCCCACCCGTGTAGAGACGCGCCCACATACAGGTGGTGAGACGGAACAAACGGCCCTAAACAAACTCCGTCGCAAACATTCAATTCTTCCATCCACCACCGGAGATGGGGATGGAGCTGCAGAGGTAGAGTGATCAAGGCAACGGGATCTCCCACTCTGATGTAAGGCGCTAGAAAGAACTGCAAGGGACGAAGTTGTAGTTGACCTCAGAGCCCGGATTCCAGGAAACCGGCAACATGGGTCTGGCCCCCAGTCCCGATATAGGAGGAACCGATGAAACCGAAGGCGGTACCAAGGTATGACGAGGTACCTCCCGCCGAGGAACTGAACCACCAGCTGGTTGAGGCACACTCCCATGCGCCAAAGACCAAGTCGCAAGGTCTCGGCTATTAACAGCAAAGGTCAACGTAGCGGGACCAAGCGCCAAACCCGATACATGAGAGGTAACCACCGAACTCGGACCAGTATGTGTAAGCGGGGCAACACGAACCCCGTGAGGAAGTGCTGAACTGAGAACATTGTGAGTGTGCATCGCACTGGGAGCACCCTGAGGAAGCGACGACCCCCAGCCTGCATAAGGAAGTGCTGAATTAAAACCTCCTGAAGTAATCGCCGAACCGGAAACACCAGAAGGAAGCGCCGAACCAGGAACACCAAAACGAAGCGTCAAACCAGGCATGCCGGCAGTAAGCATCGATCCGTGATCACCAGTAGGAAGCGTCGATCCGGGAAAACCGGAGGTAAGCGCCGATCTGGGAGCACCGGTAATAAGCGCTGAACCGGGAACACCAGTAGTAAGCGTCGATCCGGGAACCCCAAGAGGAAGCGCCAATCCGGGAACACCGGGAGGAAGCGCTGATCCGTGAACACCGGTAAAAAGCAGCGAACTGGGAACACCAGTAGTAAGCAGCGATCAGGGAACACCGGGAGGAATCGCTGATCCGGGAGCACCGGTAATAAGCGCCGAACTGGGAATACCAGTAGTAAGCGCTGATCCGGGACCATCAGTAGTAAGCGCCGATCCGGGAACACCGGGAGGAAGCGCCAATCCGGGAACACCCAGAGAAAGCCCCGATCCGGGAGCACCGGTAGTAAGCGCCGAACCAGGACCACCAGTAGTAAGCGCCGACCTGGGATCACCAGTAGTCAGCGCCGATCCGGGAACACCGAGAGAAAACGCCGATCCGGGAGCACCGGTAGTAAGCGCCGAACCAGAACCACCAGTAGTAAGCGCCGATCTGGGACCACCAGTAGTAAGCGCCAATCCGTGAATACCGGGAGGAAGCGCCGATCCGGGAGCACCGGGAAGAAGCGCCGATCTGGTAGTAAGCGCCGAACCGAGATCACCAGTAGTAAGCGCCGATCTGGGCACATCAGTAGTAAGCGCCGAACTGAGACCACCAGTAGTAAGCGCCGAACCGAAACCACCAGTTGTAAGCGCCGATCCGGGAACACCGGTAGGAAGCGCCGAACTGTACACACCGGTAGTAAGCGCCGATCCGGGAGTACTAGTAGGAAGCGACGAATTGGATACAAGCGGCGCTCTAACTGATATCTGGCCTAAAGGAAACGACGCTTGTGAGGCAAGAGGCGCACTCGAATAATGTGGTGGTCTAGAATCAAGTGGCACATTCTTAAGTTCTCACTAAGGTAGGAATCAGACGCTTCTTCTAGAAAATCCTCAATAGGAGGCGGGGACCTCGAACGACGGACTGCCGTAGATTTACGACGCTCGGCCTTGGTATGTTTCGATGACGACCGACCCTCAGATAGTTGACGGCGATCTCGATCGGATAAACGTCTACCAGCCACCCGGCGATATGCCGAGAAATCATCATCGTTAAGATCCTTACAGAACGTACAGCGACGGGACCATTCACATTTGCCTAAACAGTCTACACACAAGACATGTGGGTCCGCCGCTGAAAAATTACTTTTGCATTGGTCACAATGCTTTCGTTTCTTAGAGCTACTGCGATTAGACTTTCCCATAGTTGTAGAGAATCGCAAACAAACTTTCTATAGCCAAGCACACGTCCACCTGACGCCGCGACAAGAAAGAGAATGACAGGCACAGGTAGTCACATGATCATCTGAGCGAGCTCCACGCTTATAGAGATGATTGACAGGTGTTGATGTCGGAGTGAGGGCGGAGGTCAGGGCGGGTCAGAGGCCAGCAAGATTTGATTCAACTTAGCCTACAGCACGTTTCCACACATGGTCGTAGAAGAAGAGAGAGGTGCATACAGTGAGATAGGATACGTTTAAAAATATAGTGTATAATATATAAATGATCCATAACACTCTGAATTTAAATCTCGTCACTTTTAATATTAAAAACAGTATCCTGTTAAAGATAATATCGAGCTTTAATCATTTAATAAAATTTAATGATTGGCGAGAAATCAGAAGGACATGTGTTCATCTGTTTCAGAAGAGCCAGCTTCTCCTCCTCCACTGCCAGTCTCCTCCTTTCCACACTAAGCAGCCCATTCTGAGTGTCAAGAAGGGAAGCCAGCACCTCCAGCTTCTTCTCCTCAACGGAGCTGATTTGTCTCTTTGGTGATACTGAAAAATGTATTATATATTGAGATAATATGATTATAAATTCTTCCATATTTTCTAAGTTATGGAAGAATGACATAAGTTAATTGACTTGATCCATTTGATGTGTCAAAACTTTCATTTCATGATACTACATTATCAACTCTTATGTTATTCAATGATAATTAAAAGGTAATGAAACATTTTCCCAAATCTGTATTAATTCACTCACAAATTAAAGAATGTGGATCAGCATTGACAATGCTTGAAAGTCTATGCAATTATTGAAAAATTATATTTACATGAACAATATTACTCGAATAACCTACCACTCATGGTGGAAGCTGGAGTCTGTTTATGTGCCTTTGGTTTCTCAACTGGGGCTGAAACACAGAGAATTGATTTATATGTAACCATTTCATCCTTCATTTTGCTCTATGTTCACAATTAATGTATTCTATCATCCAAAAGTAGATTCCAAAGCAGATAGTTTAATGGTGAGATATGTACTAAGCTGTCCATTACAATACCTATTGACCCTTTAAAAAGTGTAAGATATTAATCTGTCATTAACAAACTGTGTATAATTAGATATGACAGTCTTGGTTTGATCCCATTTGAGTAAGCACTGACATCATCAGTTACGATTTAATAATATATACTTTTTTCATCATCGTACCATTACCTCCTACTGCAGCTGGAATTGCCATAACCGTTTCAAGAGCTATCATAGCATCTGAAATTTGATGGCCATAAATCAACATTTTTCCATTTCCATTAATAATGTATAGCTATATCTCATGTTACCTTTAAAGTCTTTGGTAAAACAAGTGACTTTTTCTTTGTAAAATTCATTTTCCATTAATGTGTACATGTGTTTAGTTCATTCACTAGGAATTCATAATTTTATAGTTTCAGCATAAATAAAGTACATGTAAGTTCTGCACCTGCCTTTCAATGGCTCTGGGCTGGACATATGCAGGGCTTCAATTTGTGTGTCTGCTATTGTAGCATCTGAAATTATTGTAAATCTGTATTATCATTTATGTCATTTATAAATTGTTATTTCAGATTCGTAGTTCTTCAATGTTATTTAAAATAAAAGAAATTTTCCCACAGGCAATACATGTCACTTAAGTGGATATATTATTTAACTACATGAGTTAACAAAGATGAATATTACACATAGGTTTAAATGTGTGTACAAGAATTCAAAAATAGATTGATAGGAGTATACACAAACTACACACCTAGCAGGGGAGTGGCTGCAATGCCCTCTGATAGAGTCACACCTGCAAAAACAATAACAGTGATATTGTTAACATCTAATGTTGGTAATGTTAGTACTTAAACAAAGTCATTTTCAGTTCCCTTTTATATTGTAAATGTTGCATGATATTTTTTTCATAGGACAGTTCCATTTCATTTATAAATGTTAAAAGTGGTTACAATAGATTCTATCATATCTTTGTATGTTGAGTATTATACTGTTTAAATTTCATATAATTATAACTTACTACTATACTGAATTACTGCAACATGAACTTACTCTTCACTCTCCAGGCCTCCCTCACAGCCTTCGAGCTGGCAATTTGGAATAAGAGACACCACCTAGTAAAGGGAAATAGAGACAAATAATTCAATAATAATTGTTAAATAAATATTATAACATAAATGAAGGGATCACTCTGATTATATCAAGTCTCATTTGAAATTGTAACTTTGTTTTTGTGTGATATGTTTTGTAACTCTATATCAGACCAATAACTTTAATATAAGAAGTAAATAGTTAATATGACATCATTAATGGTTCAACTGTTATTAATGGTTATTATTACCATTTCCTCCAGACTATTCAGCTCCAACACAGGCGCCTGCCCTCCTCCTGTCTTCACGCTCTCACGCCTACAGTGAGCTGCCCGCCTCCTTGTCTGGCTTCTTTGTTAGAGCGAAATTTAATTTAATCAATTATTCTGAAGTATCATATGCATAATTGAAATTTATATGCTATTCAATAATTTAGTTTTCCACATTGTAGTATGTGCACAAATCAAAATTACTGAAGCTTTGGCAATCATCTGACATTTATGTACTTATTTAATAACAGTAGGCCTACACATTGATTACTCATGATCCTATTTCCATTGTCATTTCAATAAACATCATGTTTTCACTTACTTCATGTCAGTCCACAGTCAAATGAGAAACTTATCAGATTAGTAGCATCAACATAATTTCAATAACTACCCAAAAAATGTTACATGAAATACCACTTTCCCGAAAGAGCTAGATTTCTACCTTTAAATAATTAATATATAGGAAAACCTTTATAAAATTTTATACTGTGTACGAGTTAAGGTAGGAAAGAAACTCAGCCATATATATACCCTACACTATTTCCTACGGTAAGTTGAAACCAATATCATGAATTTGTCAATATTGTTATTGCCAACTTATTGGGCAGTGTATTTAACTCATCTATGATATCTTTTTTACTTGTATGTTTCCATCATTACATGTATAATAACGTGATATTAATTAGCAGTATTTAACTTATAACACATTACAAAACTGCATCTTAATTAAACCGGATAAAATCTCATCGATATTATCACGATCGCTGACAGTAAAACAACTCACTTCTCGACCACCTCCTCCCAGCATTTTCTTTTGGTCTTTAGATTCATAGTGCTGCTAAAACTGGAAAAGAGCACGGCCGAACGTACCCCGACCTCCGAGACTAAAATCTCCATCTCGGAGGCCGTCCAGTTGGCTTTCCTGGCTCTTTTCACGCAGGTGTTTTCGGCCTCTTCGGTACGTTTGGTGTCCATGTTGACGTCTGCTATCATTCCATTCGTGACGAACTCGTGTTATTCCGGGACAAGCCGAATAGCGGTTACGGAAAGGGGCGAGTGGTGACGAAAGGAATGGTCTGCTATATTTACATTGGGGAATTCCGTGACGTCATCCGGGATTCCCTGGATACGGACTGTTGACATACTTCTTACGACCCGTCTTAGTTATGAGAGCTTCGAAAATCTAGGCCCAGGTAAGTGTAGCCATATTCCCTCTGTCGACATGGCACCTAAGTTTATCAGCAACATGTAGTGGAGCAGTCGGCAAGATTACAGAATACCGGAGGCGTGTTCAGAACCGCGAGCGCTCGCATCGGCCCTGAACGGACGCGAGCGCTTGGTTACAATAAGCCATTCGTGACCAACTCGTGTTGTTCCGGGACAAGCCGAATAGCTTCTTTTATTATATTCTTAAGGGTGAAATACTGTAAATATTGGTGAAAAGAAAAATCGTATTTTCATTTTCACTGAGTAGAATATCACTTTTGCCTGGAACTAAGAAACGCGAACTACGAAATTGATGTCTCGATCATTTATAAACAATGATCAAAATATAATAAATAGAATATTTTGTTAATGTTGTCAATGGTTACGTGAACATATAAACTGTGTCAGACCACTCGATGAAGGCCTACCTTTAGAATACAGCACCACAAATTTTAAAAATACGTCATAATACCCTTTTACATAATGTAATGTGATTTTGTTCGAAAGCACGATCTCGAAACAATGCCCTATGACGCCTGCATGGCAACACGGTTGTCTGGCTCAGCGAGTGCGTATAAGCTCCGCTCACTGGTGTTTCATCTCTACGAGCTATGTCATTGCATAAGCCCAACGATGTTGAGAGTTTCCAGTAGTTGTATACCGGCGGATGCGCAATATTTTGCAAGCACCAGTTTGAAATATTTTTCTTTTTTCACTAATACGCTCATATTTATTTGTATTACGGGCTGCTGAGGTGTTATGTGTTGTGTATTTTGTATTTTGTAATTTTTTAAATTTACATATATATTTTGGTCATTCAGTCATTTGCACCATTACATAGAAAAGTGTTTTATTAGTATTTTATTTTTCGAAGCGGTAATAATGCATTACACTAGACACGTCAGTCGTGTTTGTGCCGGCTCTGTCAATGCATTCTATTTATTAGGATTAATTCAAGGGATTAGGGCAAGGGCTAGGGCTAGGGCTAAGGTTTAGGGTTTAGGGTTAGCGTTGGGGTTGGGGTTGGGGACCTAATGCAATATAGTAGGTACATGTCCGGTGGTTCGGTCAATGCATTCTATTTATTAGGATTATTTCAAGGGGTTAGGGTTAGGGTTAGGGCTGAGGGTTTAGGGTTTAGGGTTAGGGTTAGGGTTAGGGACCTAATCCAATATAGTAGGTACATGTCCGGTGTAATACGTGAGTACCATTTGTTGTTTTTCCTTTTTGCATTTTAATACTTTTTTCACACAAAAACGGGAAACCAAAAACGTCGAAAGTACATTATGAAATGGGTTAATGTAGAAATTTGGGGCTAATGGAAATTGGCCTGGAATTTGCACTGAAGCCTCTTTCACACGCAACATAAATTTTGTAAAGTAATGATTCGAAGGCTAACTCACCCTCGTGCCGTCACTACACATGCTCATGTCTCCCTCGTTCCTTAGTGCGATCCACATTATCCTTAAAGTGTTCCCTACATCACTTTTCTGTCACAAAATCACCGATTTATATAAAAGCGCGTCATTCATGCATACACCGTGAAATCTACGTCTGACGTCTGACGTCAACAACCCTTTTCAGTTTGAGGCATATCGGCTCATTCCACGCCACACGTTAATTTGTAGATTACGGAATGGGACGAGTGTGCCAAATGGCATCGGATCCATTCGGCAATTGTCCGTAGAATAAAATAACATGACACCAAGTCTACCCGTAGCATTCGTAATTGTCCGTGACCTATTCGACTCTTTCCGTTCATTTCCGTGACGTCACAGGAATGACTCGATAAATTTGTGCAACAGTGTGGACGTAGCTCAGTCGGTTAGCTGTCGAGCTAACAATCCGAAGGTCGCGGGTTCGCGTCCGACGGGTTCTCACAAACTGGTTGCTTGTCTTAATGACACGTGACCTACGGCAGATATCGTCCTCACGAGAAGTTGTGGTGCTGTATTCTAAAGGTGCTCTTCGATGAAATATACATGTTATTTGACAACATTAACAAAATATCCTCCATGCCTTCTTTTTGGAGGTTACGGAAAGGGGCGAGTGGTGACGAATGACATTAAACATGATCGCCATCTTGGTTCGCTTGGCGAGGCAGCTGTGAGAATGGTACGCGTGCGCGCGCGGGCGCTCGAACGGACACAGGCGTTCAGGATCGAGCGCCCGCTAGCGTTCGCGGGCACTCGCGGTTGTGAACACGCCTCGGATACCTATCCGCCATTTTTATTTTGATTGCGCATTTATTTTTGCGCACTTCCGTTTTGTTTCCTTAGCAACGGCACGCCATGAATGAAGGCTGTGTTGAAGCAGCGTTCAATATTAAATATTAAATATTAAATATTAAACAATATTAAAGCTCAAACAAGGTAAGATAATGGGGGTAAAGGGGGGTACCCCCCTTTATTTAAAAGCCTTACCTACCTTACCTTACCAATCAAAAAAACACTTACCATCAGAGTGTTCCCACACTGTAGAGTTCCTTTTCCCACCATGCATTTGAATAAAATTTCAACACACGATTACTTTTTACTCTGTTTACGTCAGTGAACGCTGTTAAAATCCCCAGTTCAGGTTTCCTAAACCGGAAGTAAGGTGAGGAATTCGATTTTAACCTTATTTTTACCTTAAATTCGTATTTTTATTGGATCGCTCGCAGGCTCGCGCTCTCTGTTTCTTCTATATATAGGAGCCTCACGCGCACAATAGAATGTATATAATTAGGTATCCGGTATTCTGTAAGTGTACCCAGGTAATGAAACTGTGGGTCTTAGCAGCTATGAGGTGATCTCTTCTGGTGGTCTTCAATAATATCCATCCGTTCAGGTAATGAAACTGTGGTCATCTCTTTGACATATAGGTATATTTGTACTGTCTTATCTTCAAATGACCTTCACATTAGCACTGAATACATATTGACGTTTCACTTATGTTACAGAATGCCTCTCTGTCTCACAAAGACCCAACGAGCAATATGGACGAATGTTTGTATTTGTTTTCTCGTGATCCTCACCGTAATGTTAATCATTGTTGCCATATCAGTCTACCTATCGATGCCATTACACAATGAACAGAGATCAACGAACTGGGAGAAGGATTTGATGGAAGTAAGCATACACTGTAAATTGTTAATATACAATGTTATAAGTGGTGATACATGACTATACCATTGTAATCTACTGGAAGCTATTTGATGGATGTAAACCGGAGAAAGTGTAGAATAGCATTATCGCAATGCATTGCACATAGATGAATGACTAGGATGTAATTTAAATTTAATGGAGGTTGAAAAATATTCCAAGTACCATTTTGTTGTGTTTACCAAATATAGATAAATTTGTTCTTTAATTAAATTAATACTTATACTGTTCATGACTTATCAATGTTTATAGCTAAAATACATGGAATTATCATGAAACGGCCCTCCCATTATCAGAAATTTGCGGTCCGCTGCAAATGATATTGGACTGCTCAACCTTAACGACGGGCCACTATCAGTTCTGTTGTCAAGTGACGTCATGGTTCGACATTAATTGTCTTTCGACTGGCAGATATTCTGGGTCAAACAAGTCAAAGCAACCCAAATTCCCGCTTTAAATAGCGGTAATATTGGCTTTCTTGTTGGTGCTAACCTTAACAAATGCACTATTAAGACTGTTGATGGACTAAAACTGAACACTGACATAGTTTGACATGTTGCAGGCTATGGTCTTGTCAAAGGCCAAGGTCGAATATCGTCACTTTCTGTTGTGACGTCACTTGAATTGTTCGATGACGTAATTGCATTCGGGCAGTCAAGCCCGTCAGAAGTTGATTTGGGTAAACTTAGTCAAATTCCTTCATTGTTTCCTTTTTCTTTTCAACACAAATTCCATGTATTTTAGCAATAATAACGGTAATGCTATTTTTGAGGGCATTATCATTTGCAGAAGCCCTCGGTCTTTTTCAACTGCCCTCCTTCGTCGGGCAGTTAATGGAAGACCTCGGGCTTCTGCAAATGATAATGCCCTCAAAAATAGCATTACCCTTATAATATTTATCATGAAATGACAATGTCAATGGAACACAATAGTAATGAATATAGGCCATTATAGCTGTAACCGTGAAGAACCCGGGATAGAATTGGTCTTCGGCAACCCATGCCTGTCGTAGAAGGCGACTAACGGGATCGGGTGGTCAGGCTCGTTCACTTGGTTGACACATGTCATCATATCCCAATTGTGTAGATCGATGCTTATATTGTGGATCACTGGATTGTCTGGTCCAGACTCGATTGTTTACAGACCATTATAGCTAAAATACATGGAATTATCATGAAACGGACCGCCCATTATCAGAAATTTGCGGTCCGCTGCAAATGATATTGGACCGCTCAACCTTAACGACGGGCCACTATCAGTTCTGTTGTCAAGTGACGTCATAGTTCGACATTAATTGGGTTTCGACTGGCAGTTATTCTGGGTCAAACAAGTCAAAGCAACCCAAATTCCCGCTTTAAATAGCGGTAATATTGGCTTTCTTGTTGGTGCTAACCTTAACAATTGCACTATTAAGACTGTTGATGGACCAAAACCGAACACTTTCATAGTTTGACAGGTTGCAGGCTATGGTCTTGTGAAAGGCCAAGGTCGAATATCGTCACTTTCTGTTGTGACGTCACTTGAATTGTTCGATGACGTAATTGCATTCGGGCAGTCAAGCCCGTCAGAAGTTGATTTGGGTAAACTTACAGTCCGATTCCTTCATTGTTTCCTTTTTCTTTTCAACACAAATTCCATGTATTTTAGTTAATAATAACGGTAATGCTATATTTTTGAGGGCATTATCATTTGCAGAAGCCCTCGGTCTTTTCAACTGCCCTCCTTCGTCGGGCAGTTAATGGAAGACCTCGGGCTTCTGCAAATGATAATGCCCTCAAAAATAGCATTACCCTTATACTACCATATAGCTGGAATAGTTCTGAGTGCAGCGTTAAACAACAAACCAACCAACAAACCATTATACCTGACATTTAAGCACACCAGTGCTTGAAGCCAGAGCGTGATCCAGTTTTATCATCCAAAACTGTGTTTACCAGTAGATATCGCTTGTGTGAGATCAGACGATATCTCATAGGAGATATCGTTTTGACAGTAGATTTTGTACAATGCCCTGACAATGCTATGACGTCATGAACTCGTTAGGGTCACAATGTTATGACATCGCTGCACTGCAAATCTAATGGCAGTACTGTGTTCAGAGATGTACATTTTTCATTGAAAACTAATAAAGAGTGATTTTTTATGATAAATAGAATCTCACCCTCGTGTCTTCTGATATCAAATATATCAACACTCGTTGATAAAAGTAAAAATATCCTCGGCTAGCCTCGGATATTTGTTACCTTATCAACTCGTGGTGATATATTTGATATCAAAAGACACTCGGGTGAGATTCTCTATATATCGATTGCATTGTATAATACGTTGTTATGTGTACACGGTACAATAGATCGTAACGCCAATCAATACTGTTAGGCGTGGCTGCGTATCAAGGTGGTAATGACATAGCGAGCAGACACATCGGGAGGTTTGACATTTACTGTTAGAAACGAGGTCATGACGTATAAATATGTTCCACAAGGATGGGGCATACGTGTAACAGTGTGATATGTAACTTGTAGTCTGGAATGAATTATTACTATGTGATTATGCATGTAAGTTAAGAAGGGAACTGTGCAACTTGTTATGACATATTATTTTTGTAATGCAGTTTACTGTTATATAATCTGCTTCATATGTGCCGAGGGTGGTGGTGAAAGCGTTCTCTCGTCACGCCGAAGACCCGGGTTCGATTCTCCACATGGGTACAATGTGTAAAGCCCATTTCTGGTCTCCCCGCCGTGATATTACTGCAATATTGCTAAAAGCGGCGTAAAATGGAACTCACTCACTCACCCACTCGTATGTGGAGAAATGCCCTTATGCAACATGCATTTTATGATAGATAACTTCCTTGCATGCTAGATATACCAGAAGACAGTGGTGGATGTTCCAAGGTCAGAGGTACCTGAAAGTATGAAGTTGTGAAATTTGTTTTTGATCAAGTTTAATATCCTTAGTAATCTTGATGAACATAAAGAGTTTTCTGGATTTTATCTTCTTTTATTCTTCCGGTACCGTCATCAGGTAAAACTAATAAACAGTTAATTGGGCCGGAACAGGCCCCGAATAAAAGATGATGAAATCCAGAAAACTCTTTACGTTCATCTTCTATAATGCCAGTCAAGCATTATCTTCTTCCAGTAGTTTAACATTCATTGTTCTCCTTTTGATGCATTTCTTTGAACGTTTCTAATTGACACCTAAACCAACCTTTTTACCTGCAGTTTTTACAACTTAACCCTCATTTTAACTCACACCATTTCCTACCTTATTCACATAGACTTTTATCTGGTGTTCAATTTATTAAAATATTCATTTCCGCTTCTAGCTTTTCATAATACCAAAGTAGTAATTACTTATTATGAAGTAAATATGCTAGGCGTACGGAGTGCTGAATGCTACGAGGTAATCCAGGTGGTACCATTCTACTGACACAAGTAACGATTTTATGTTTACTAGCTCATAAATTATATCACAACAGATATGTCCAGAATATCATGTTTGTCTGACATACAAATATTCATTTTGACCGCCGTCCAACTCTTGATATGAAATTCTGATGTGAGACACAAATGACGTCACAGCAAACATTATGACGTCATGTTGCTCATTACGTCCGCTCTGCCGTTTTTGACGTTTACAAGATGGTAATATTATAGGTTGTGATGTGTAATGACAATATTAATTTCAAGTTTTTCAACAACCATATCATCATATTAATATCACATACAGCCAGCCGCAAACGAGATTGATGGTAACACGTTGGAAAAGATGCAAACATTACGTAAATTATGTTTATTCGGTCAATCTATTAATATCTCGGCGTGTGTCATATATAGACATAAAACACGGACATTACAATTGACTAATAATGCTCATTGTTCTGTTGACATAGATGTTGATGGGGAGGACTATCTTGACCTGCAACAACTTAATTTGCTGAAACCGATATCTCATTTCTCTGGACTCGATTTCGACAAAGAAACTGCAGGTGTGTGTGATTGGGGGTGACACCGTTATAGTTACGTATTTTTCCCTCCTTAAGATCACCATATAATCTTTTATTATCCATATGGTGAAACACAACCAGTGTCATATATATCATATGTGCAAATGTGCACATATCACTTTTGCTCAGCAACCATTGTTTCTGTATTTCGTCGTCTGTGACGTCATTAAGCAATTGGACGTGACGCCAATGAACAGGGCAGTCACACTTGCTAACCGTTTTTTACTGCACAAATGCACATGAATAAAATAGACAATAACGAAATGATTACACTCGCAAGTATGCCACACGACTTATATGAAACCCGTGCAAAATTTCACACTCAAACATGCAAACATACACAATTTCACACTCGTTTCATATAAGTCGTATGACACACTTGCTCGTGTAATAATCTCCATACCTGTCACAGATGCATACATAAAGGTAAAGAATACTTCTGTCTGGACATTACGTTCTCATGTTACAGATCGAGAAAAGAATTTGACGACTCTCCGAAACTGGGTTAACCCTGATGGTTCTGACAGAAAGCTCCTGTACAATGGAATGAGTTACGAGAACGGCTCCATCACAGTACCAGCAGCAGGAGTGTACCACATCACAAGTCACGTCAAGTTCTACATCGAGGACAACAGGAAGGATGACAAGTCACTCCAAACATTCCGGCACCAGGTTGTCCGCTATAGTGCCTCCAGCCAGACACAGGTCGTGTTGTTTGAAAATGCCGTGACTGAGTGTAAAGAGGGTATCAACGACGGAGCTCACCTGGAGTACCCGAGTGATGCTGGTGGACTGGCTCTGTTGGATGCTGGAGATCAGGTGATGGTGAAAGTATCACACTTACAGACGCTGAAGCATGATCGTGACTGGCACTATTTCAATGTACATATTGTATAGAGTGATGTTTGAGTGCCACTACCACTTAATTGGTGATGTGACTGGCCGCATATTGACAGAACACGTAAGACACGTGCTTAGAAACTCAATTAAAAATGTTCTCAAACTAATTTATTGTTCTGTTGCACTGAAACGCATTTTTACTGCTTATGGTAATTTTCAAATTTTGTGGAGTATGAATCTTGGTAACATATGGGAGCGAGTCTTTCATTAGAACCAAAGGTAAGCCACATCGGGTGCAGTGTGTTTGTGCTGTCTTTCAAACTGAAAGATTTGGTTGGTTTGTTGTTTAATGCCACACTCAGCAATGTTCCAGCTATATGTCTGCGGTGTGTAAAATATAATGATCAACAGCATGGGCATAGATCTACGCAACTGGGATGCGATGAGGTGTCAACTAAGTCAGCGAGCCTCACCACCCGATCCCGTTAGTCCCCTCCTACCACAAGCATGGGTTGCTGAAGATCAATTCTAACCCGGATCTTCGCGGGTCTCAAACTGAAAGAGCAGAAAGTAACAGACCATCTCTCTTCACTCTTCCCTGAACAGTTTCAGTAATACCAACACATCTGATAGGGTATACTTTACATATTTAATATATTATACTTCGAATGATGTATAGGACACCCACCAAATGCACTTTCTTGGACACCAGTGGCTATCAGCTGAAAACACGGTCAGACACTTAGGCGTATTTCAGGTGGTACTGTTCCTGGTGCGACCGAATGCTTTATTTGAATTACAGTCCGTTTGGCTCAAAAGCGGACCGATGAACTGCAATCTAACTCGAAAAATAAAAAGCATATAATACTCAATGAAACGATGATCATAATCAAAACATCAGACCAACTCTGTGTTGTTTTCACGAAATGATTGATAACACAGTCTGACTGTACATTACCATGAGTTGGCACTCCCTTATGTTGATGTCAATGAGCACAACTGTTATGTATAAATGAGCATTAACGTGTAAATGTGTAACAGGTTGGCAGCCTATAGTGTCTGGCCTGTGATATGGTACAATGTACTATCTCACATCAGTGAGTTTGCTTCGACGGTGCGTTGACCAGTGTTTCACTTTTTACACTATAGTTGTCCCCCCTTTGTTCATGAGGTATCCGGGGTTGGAGGAAAGCGTTCTCTCGTCACGCAGAAGGATGGGACATAGCGAGCAGACACATAGGAAGATTTGACATTTACTGTTAGAAACGAGGTCGTGCCTGATTATTGCTAAGGCGGCGTAAAACCCAATTCACTAACTCACTCACTCATGAGGTATCCGTGGATACCGTCTTCAACGTTGCATGCACGTGCACAGGGATGGGGAACTAGTTACATTGTGACATCACAGAAGTGACTGGATGGACAGTGGGGCGTCCACATGTCACGCCGAAGACATGGATCCTATTTCCTACATGGGTACAATGTCATAGTAATGTCCATTATTGTTGTACTCTGTCGTGATACTGCTGGAATACTGCTACATCGGCGTAAAACTATACTCAGGCACATACATAAAGAAACCCTGGATCGCCGAGGATGTACAAACTAGTAACAGAAATATCAGTATGTCCCTAGAGCTTCTCCCTGAAAGCGTCGCATTCGCATTCATAGTTATTTTATAAAGAATACACAGCTTGCGAATACCATTTAACATGTTATAATACGGTACAAGTGTTTGCAAACATATTTAGGGGACGTCTTCCAAGTCACAGGGAAAGCGTATCTGAGAAATATACATAAGTGTCCCACGCACAACAGAGCTAAAGAAGCGCTTGCCGGGGACCAAGGGCTGCCCTCACCGACCGGTTCCTAAAGCCCGCATGAAGCCAACGCATAACTGCAAGTTCCCTTCTCAGAAAAGTCACTGAAATCGATATATTAAGATCTATTTTTGTGATTTTTAACGGATTTTTTAGTTCTATTTAACATATGAACCCCGTTTGGTGTGAGGTTTATCACGAGGTTTGTCGCAAGAGTGTGACATGAATAACAAATGCGTGAGTTTCAAGCCAAAGGCGTAATAGATGGCAGATATGCCTTTCGGAGTTTCGGATTTTGGGACCACAGAGCTTTTTTTGAAAACGACTAAAGACCACATTGACCTTTGTATGCGTAGCAATCATGAATCTTATCAGCATGGCGTTCAAACCAGAGATTGACTATAGGTGCTTAGCACATTTCTACGCGCGTGAGGGAACGACTACGCAGTATATGATGCTTTGACACGCTATAGCATTCTGAATGATTCATTTATTTTGCCTTATTTCATTACAATGTTAAAATGTGTTATAGAACGTGAGTGTCCCATTAAGATAATTATCAAGTGAAATGTTTCGTTAAGCTCCTACGTAGAAAGACTTCTTTGTTAATTCAAGTAAGTATAGTGTATGTTTTTACATGATACATAATGCATGAGATAAGGCTCACTAATTGGTTGTTTTCGTAAGTGTAAGTGTAGCCATATTCCCTCTGTCGACATGGCACCTAAGTTTATCAACAACATGTAGTGGAGCAGTCTCCGTGCTGCGATGTTCCTTAGGTGGCTGGCGGGGGATTGTTCATATTGAAATCAATAAATTTATTCAATCGCGTATGGTATGATCTTAGCTGCCATGAGTTGATCTCTTCTGGTGGTCTTCAACAATATCCATCCGTTCAGGTAATAAAACTTTGGTTATCTCTTTGACATATAGGTATATATGTACTGTCTTATCTTCAAATGACCTTCACATTAGCACTGAGTACATATTGACGTTTCACTTATATTACAGAATGCCTCTCTGCCTCAAAAAGACTCAACGAGCAATATGGATGAAAGTTTGTATTTGTTTTCTCGTGATCCTCACCGTAATGTTAATCATTTTTGCCATATCAGTCTACCTATCGATGCCATTACACAATGGACAGAGATCAACGAACTGGGAGAAGGATTTGATGGAGGTAAGCATACACAGTAAATTGTTAATATACAATGTTATAAGTGGTGATACATGACTATACCATTGTAATCTACTGGAATCTATTTGATGGATGTAAACCGGAGAAAGTGTAGAATAGCATTATCGCAATGCATTGCACACAGATTAATGACTAGGATGTAATTAAAATTTAATGGAGGTTGAAAAATACCCCAAGTACCATTTTGTTATGTTTACCAAATATAGATAAATGTGTTCTTTAATTAAATTAATACTTATACTGTTTATGACTTATCAATGTATATTCATCATGAAATGACAATGTCAATGGAACACAATAGCAATGAATATAGGCCATTCTAAGATGCCTAGCGGTTAGAACAATCGGAAAAAAAATACATTATCAGACAATAAAGGTATAGTTTTTTGACGACGTAACAATCGAATGACGTTATCCCGTCACTGCGCCATTCTAGTGTGCCCCCTCGTAATCGAACAATTTTACATTACGTCACAATGTAAGCGACGTCACGATGCATGTCAGTTGTCATCGCCTCGTACGGCCTCCTACAGTAAACTACACCGTTGCATCCAGTTTCTTGGTTTGCTGTTGCTTCACGCAGCTAACATCACTGGTGGAAACATTACGTTTATGTTTTACGACGGTTAAAATGTGTCATTTCGACTCACAAGTTTTCAGCGACACGGTAACGTTCGTAATGTTTACATTCCCACAATGCAATTGTGGAATGTCGCTTGACTACTCAACTTCCTCTGGATGTACTGATCTAAACTTACGCTGGTAGTAGAAATGCAACGTTCATATTGCCCCATATGGTTTACGTTAATGACAGATGTAATTAAAATAATTCAGAGAAGATATTTAATCCGAACGTAAACCGTCATCAAACTGTTATCATTTGTTTTTTTCTGGTAACGTTCGTCTTAACGTAGGGGGCAGACACATCAATAGAACAGCACGCCATTTAACCCTGTGCGAGGATTCTAAATTTAGGTCACCGACACCGTTGTTTGTTTTCTACCTTAAATCAATCGTAATTATCTTTAGAAAGTATTAAATTTGGCATCTTAGAAAAGAAATACACTTCGCCCTACCACCATGTATAGTGTAATAAAACCACTCTTTCGCCCTGGACTATTATAACGTTAAAGCACTCGGACGCAAGCGTCCTCTTGCTTTAACAAAAATTGTTCAGGGCAAAAGTGTGTTTTATTACACTATACATGGTGGTAGAGCGAAGTGTATTTCTTAAGTATAGCTGTAACCGTGAAGAACCCGGGATAGAATTGGTCATCGGCAACCCATGCCTGTCGTAGAAGGCGACTAACGGGATCGGGTGGTCAGGCTCGTTCACTTGGTTGACACATGTCATCATATCCCAATTGTGTAGATCGATGCTCATATTGTGGATCACTGGATTGTCTGGTCCAGACTCGATTGTTTACAGACCACTACCATATAGCTGGAATATTTCTGAGTGCAGCGTTAAACAACAAAACAACCAACAAACCATTATAGCTGACATTTATGCACACCAGAGCGTGATCCAGTTATGTCGATTGCATTGTATAATACGTTGTTATGTGTACACGGTACTTGATCGTAACGCCAATGAATACTGTTAGGCGTGGCTGCATATAAGGTGGTAATGACATAGCGAGCAGACACATCGGGAGGTTTGACATTTACTGTTAGAAACGAGGTCGTGACGTATAAATTTAGAAGGGAAGTTAAGAAGGGAACTGTGCAACTTGTTATGAAATATTGTTTTTTGTAATGCAGTTTACTGTTATATAATCTGCTTCATATGTGCCGAGGGTGGTGGTGAAAGCGTTCTCTCGTCACGCCGAAGACCCGGGTTCGATTCCCCACATGGGTACAATGTGTAAAGCCCATTTCTGGTCTCCCCGCCGTGATATTGCTGCAATATTGCTAAAAGCGGCGTAAAACGGAACTCACTCACTCACCCACTCGTAGAGAAATGCCCTTATGCAATATGCATTTTATGACCGATAACTTCCTTGCATGCTAGATATACAAGAAGACAGTGGTGGATGTTTCAAGGTCAAGGGTACCTGAAAGTATGAAGTTGTGAAATTTCGTTTTGATCAAGTTTGATATCATTAGTAATCTTTCTTTTTTTTCTTTTTCTATTTTTCCATTTTTATGTTACAATTTCCATTACAGCAGCTTTATGTTCTTCCATTGAAAGTACTTCAAGTGTACAGTGAGTAGTGTTGATGTAAATACATAATGTGTACATTACCTCTTATATATATAGTACACATATATACAAAATACATGTACATGTAGTTACAGTCAGTCAGTTATAGTATTTCGAAAAAGTAAATGGAAGGATGACCAGAAAGAATGAAAACTTGCATAGTTACAATTAGAAAAGGCAATAAATTTTGAGATTTCATAAGATTTTAATACTTCTTTTTGAAACCATATAAAATTAGGTTTCACTGCTTTCTTACTACATTTATACAACATATATTTGATTATTATTATCACCACATTAGGAGGATGATTATGTTTACCTTTAAATCCAAATAATATATGATTTTCACTTAAGTGAATTTTACTTTCCATGTATCCTTCAATCCATTCAGTAAATTTTGTCTAAATATCTATTGCATATTGACAATTACAAAGCACATGTGCTATAGTTACAGCTGGACCGTTACACAATGAACATGCTGGTGACTTAACATAGCCAATCTTATATAAATAACAATTAGTGCTGAGAATATTATGTAAAATCTTAAACTGAAACAATCTTAAGTCACTGCTTTGTGTACATCTTTTTGCCATTAAACTATAGTTTATCCATTCAGTTTCAGTAATAGCTTTTGCTATAGCTTTTAAGTTTTGTAAATTTAGAATTTTGCAACATTTCATAAAATAATCTACTACCTGAAGTACTGTTGATTTTAGAAATATTATAAGGTAATATTGGTATTTGAGAGATGTCTTGTATTTGACTACAGTTAATTCTTTGTAAGTAGTGGGCGATAGATTGTTTCAAGCCTTGAAATGTTAAAAAGTCTGTATTCAAAGTATATTTGTGTAAAAAATCATGGAAATTAAACCAATTTCCTGTATCGTTGAAGAAATCGTTAATATATGTTATACCTTTTTCATACCAATGGGAAAATATACTGGCTTATCTATCAATTGTTATGTTATTATTGTACCAGATTGACTTATTCATTATATCCGTAACAGATAGTTCAATATTATCACAACAATTTAAATATGATGCATATATTGACAGTATTTCTTTCCAAAACTGGTTGTGGATATTTTGGACAATATTGTTTTCTATGTAGAAAGCATCAGCCAAATTTACTATTTTTGCCTCAACTAAATGATCATAAAAGAAACATGCCCATTTGGACTTACTTACAGATAGTCTTTTGATCCAACAAAGTTTCTGAGCTGCAATAACCTTTTCTATTATGGGTACACTTATGCCACCATACTTAGGCTGTAGTGACATTGTATCTCTCTTGACTTTATCTGGTTTAAATTTCCAAACAAATTGAAAACATTTCTTTTGAAAAGCTTCTATTATAGTTTTAGGTGGGCTTGGTATACTGCTGAATAAATGGTTTAGTTTAGGTAGTAATAATGATTTTAACACAATATTTCTACCCATTGGTGTTAAAGTTCTCTTTGTCCAATGTTCCATTTCTTTTTCAATATTATCTAATTTATTTACATAGTTCAGATTAACCATATTTCCTAAATCAATATCAAATTCAATACCTAATAGCTTAAACTGTGTTTGTGTCCAGTCCAACTTATACTCTTTACAGAGTTTGTATCTTGATCTCTTTTTGGAACCTATCCATATCAATTTGTTTTTCTCTGTGTTTACTTTTAATCCTGAAAATCTGGCAAAAAAGGATAATGTACTCATTGCAGAGTAGAGACTTTTTTCTGATCCATCTAAACTAACAGTGGTATCATCTGCAAATTGTGCTAGAAGGGAATATATATTACCAAGTTTTAATCCCGTTATATTTTTATTATTTCTTAACATTATTGCTAGGATTTCTGCGCATAATATGAAGAGATATGGTGATATAGGATCCCCCTCACGACAATCTCTTGTAACCTTAAAGAAGGGGCTTGCAAAACCGTTAACCAAAACACTTGTTTCAATGTTTTCGAAAAAAATAATTTTATCCAATTTTGAATACTGGGCCCAAAGCGGAAAAAGTTAAGTACATTATGTGTAAATTTTCTATCCACAAAATCAAATGCCTTTTCAAAATCAATAAGTAGTAGTAAGCCTGGTATCTGGTCTGATTCTGTATAGTCTAATATATCATAAATAAGTCTAGTCACTTCACCTATATATCTACCCGATACAAAACCCTTTTGATCCTCATGGATAATCAGTCATAAGATTGGCTTTATTCTATTTGCAATTGTCGATGCAGCTAATTTATAAGTAGTATTTAAAAGAGTAATAGGGCGCCAATTTTTTAGAAAGAGTTTTGATTTGTCTTCTTTAGGCAAGCAAGTGATTAGACCTTGTTTTTGTGTAGTAGATAAGGCCCGTTTCATATGCATAATTTAAAGCATTTATCAAATATTTATTGAGGTCTCACAAAAAGAACTTTAAAAATTCTGCTGTGAAGCCATCTGGGCCAGGAGTCTTATCATTTTTCATTTTTTTTAGTGCTTCAAGTACTTCATTATAGGTCAGCTCCCCTTCTAAGGAAAGTGATGTTTGACAGTCTGACCTAGGCACTGATACTTTAGCAAAAAGGTTTTCCAGATCAATCTGTATCAATCTGTGTCTTCAGTTTCATACAGTTTTTCATAAAAATGTTTCACTTCTTGAATGATTTCATGTTGTTTCTTCAATAACGTTCCATCTGGTTTTTCAACAGCTGAGATAGATTTAGTTAGAAAATTTCTACTTTCTAATTTTAAAAAGTAATTGGATGTTTTTTCTCCATGTTCTATCCACTTGGCTTTTG